GTGTGTTCCTGCTGCCTCTCTGGGGCTGGCTGTCCCCAGGGATGCACGCTCACCACCCCAGTCAGAGGGACTGAAGGGAGGCTGTCAGAGCATAGACCAGGCTCTGCTTGGTGCTGCCCATCAACAGGACAAGAGGCAATGGGCAGAACCTGATGCAAAACATGTTCCACCTGAACATGGGGAAGAACTTCTTTCCTGTGCAGGTGACAGGTTGTCCAGAGAGGGTGTGGAGTCTCCCTCACTGCAAGTATTCCAGAACCCTCTGGACACAATCCTGTGCCATGTGCTCTGGAATGACCCTGCTTGAGCAGGAAGGGTGCACCCAATGGCCCATCCTGTGATACCCACCAGGAGCATGGATTGGAAAGCACATGGACATTTCCTACCTGCACAGCATTTCGGCCTTAAATTCCCCCACACACGTCGGGAAGAATTTCACATGGAAAATCTGATTCTGGCCAGCAGGGATGGTACCGCAGCGGGGCTCGATGGAGAACAGCGGTGGGTCCTTGACGGGAATTGGAGACCATTCCGGGGAGGAGCTAAGGTGCAGACTTGGCTGGGGCTGAGTTGGCTGGGGCTGAGTTGGCTGGGGCTGAGTTGACTCGAGTGGCGATGCCTGCTGCACCAGCCTTGCATGATTCCTTTCCCAGAGATCCTCAGCAGCAGAGGACAAGAAATCACCTGCAGGAGGAAAGAAGACATCTTTCAAAGACAAAATCCTTTGTTCCCAACAACTCTACCTCCTGCTGCAAGTGGATAGAAGAGAGCTGGGATGCACTTGGAGAGCCTCTGGCCAAGTACTTTCAGCAGGAGACAGAGCAGCTGGGAGCAGGGTCTCTGCCTGCAGCACACACTCCCATGCCGGGGCAGGAGGCTTGGTTTTAGACAATGACTTTGCATTTGCCCTGGAGTGGGGAACTGCATACAGACAGTGGCTGCAGGGCAGCTCACTTGTTCCACCCTTGTTTTTCCCAGTCTCAGAGACTTTCCAAAGAGGTGCCCTGATGTCCCCCTTCCTAGTCCTGACCCAGCACATGGCTGTCCCTGGAGCCCAGCTCAGCTCCTGTGCAGAGCACAAGTGGCAGAGCAAGAACAGGAGGGGCTAAAAGGCAGACGGGGGGAAGGAGAAAACTCTCCAGCTGCAGCTGGGAAGTGGACAGGGATGAAAAAGCAATTAATGTTTGGGGTGAAGTGGCAGGGTCTTCTCCCTAGGCCCTCAGCTACCAACTGAAATGGCCCAGGCACCACCCAGAGCCAAACACTTACGTGTCTGAGTGGACGAGAACAACCTCCCAGAACTCTTTGATGGTATTTCCTCCTCCAGATTCTCCTCCCAGCAGTATTTCAGGGCTACATTCCCTGTATTGGACATCCAGAAACTGAAAAACAAGGAGGAGGAATAAAAAGCAAGTACTAAAGTAACACTGTCTGGTGGGCTCCTGGTACCACCTTCCTCAGGCAACTCTGCCACGTTCAGAATTGCTGCCCTGGGTGGCCCAGACAAAGTATTTCAAAGTCTGCAAGTTTAGGAGGAAAGGGTCAACACGGTGCCCAGCACTCACGTGCTTATCTCTGTCTGGAAGAGCTCAGTCTGCTTCAGCTGAACCTCGGCCGTGTGCAGTCTGAACTCGGTGTAGTCAACCTGAGCACTGAGGACAAGCTTGACGTTGTGGCTGCTCTTCTTCAGGACGGTGTGAGGTGGTTCCGGGACTGTCTCGAACACCTGCAGGCAGAGGAGGGAAGAATCACTGAGCAGAGCCCAGAAAG